TTTTTTTTTTTTTTTTACAAAGGACTACTCTACTACTTCTTAAAGATTTATTTATTTATTTATTTATTTTTTATATTCCCAGGTCACATCATTCTAAATGTAAAATGGGGCCACTTAACAGTATTTTCTAGGCTTTATTTCTCCAACTGTGAAACCTCTGGAGCACCTTTTATTCCCTTCGAAGTTTCTAGTTCCTTCCCCAGCTATTTGCAGGAACCCCTTAGGGATCTGTTATTGTGTACTCAAACAAATCTTTTGAGCTAACAAGAGTGCCTCCCACTCTCTTTCCCTCCTGCTCTGATCCTCTTTGGTGACCTGGCAGCTGAGCCCTTGCTCCTGCTCTTGCTGGATATCCCTGCCAAGGAAAGTCTGAGACAATGTCATCCCTTGTTCCAGCATCTAGCACCACCACGCACTGCCTTTGGCTGCTGCTGAGGCTATGGGTGATGGAAAATGAAACAAAACAAAACAAAACAAAACAAAACAAAACAAAACCCACAAAGCAAACAAACTAAAACCAATGCAGACCCCAGCTCTCATTTTAACTGGAGTCACAGTTGGAATCATGGGCTGGAGCCTGATGTGTGTCAAATACCTGATGCCCCAAGGAACAGAATGCCTCACTTTCATGGTAATCCAAGATGCTTTGGATTTCCAATGACTGCAATAAGCTTGTAAGAGAACAGTTTATTCGGTTTATTCTATTCCTTCTCCCCCTTCCAGGTCTCAAGGACACAGAGGTGAGTGAATTGGTTTGGGAAAATATCAGCGACAAACAATGTACTATATTAAGATTTACCTTGTTCTCCAATGGCTGAGACACTTTACAGAACCGAACAATATGCAAGTCTCTGCCATTAGGATGGGATCTCTCCCTAGAGGCCACTCAATTCTTATCCAAATAAACATTTCCAGGGCCTGCCCTGCCTGCCTGCCTTGTTTACCAGACAAGTCTGACAGTGGTGTCCTCAGTCTACACCAATGATGAGCCACTAGAGTTCTCAGGATAAATACAGCTGGCCCAGGTGGAAGCATAGAAAGAGGACTCTCTTGTGCCATAATTGTTGACTCTATGGTAAATTCTAGTGCCTAGAATGAAGGGTCAAGTTCATTTTGGCATTGTCCTACTTAGTTAGGCAGATTATTTTATCTGGAAGCATGTAACTTACTTTTCCATGGTACTCAATGTACCTATTATCGTTTTTGAATTCTGGGAGAAAAATAATGTGTTGCATTGACAGTTTCCTTTTTCTGAAGGTTATTTTTGCAGCCAGTTTGCTTACCACTCATTTAGAACCAAGCATCCTTTGTATTTTCTCAGAAGATTAGTTCTAATCAATTTGGGGAGGAGAAGAGAAACTTTCAAGACAGAGCTGATTGAAGAGGCTAGTGCCTTTCAGAGAGAAGCATTAAGTAGTTCACAGGCAGTGAATGTTCCTCTTCAGATCTACTAGAATGTCTCTCCTTTAGATAGTTCAACTAGATTCTCACCCCTTTTAAAGTTCAGATCACCAACCTGGATGAAAGAATTGCAGAATGGGAGTTTTTCACTGTGTGGAAGAAAATATATCTCCAGATTAATATACTTTTATTTTTAAATAAGCACCCTTTATTTCAGTTGTCATTCAGAATGAAATTTTGAGGGCAAGTTAATTTTCTATAGAAGTTGAAATGATTGTTGAAAATAACCACTGGAAGATACGCTTGTTCATCAGGTATCTCCTAATGCCTATAATAGCACCTGGGACAGAGGAGGTTCTAAAAAAATAATAAAAGTGTGGATAAGTGAATTTCAGGATTTATAAAGAGATCTGTTTTGATTTAATAAGATTCATAGCCTGGGGTCAGCTCTGAGTTCTGTTTTATTTTTGTACTTTTTTCCATCTGAAGCTGGTTAAACATCATCTGGACCTTACACGGGTCTCTCCAACCCTTGTCATTTCTCAGTTTGCTTGTGTAAAGTGCAAGTTTTGGGCAAGAAAGCTCTAGGACTCCTTCAATCTCTATAAGGCTAAAATTTTCAGGTTAAAGACTTTTAGGTACAAATGACCAGAAATCAGCAAATCTGTGCTAATTGAATCTCTCCCCTTGAAGGAAAAAAAAGAAAAAAGGGGGGGGGGGAAGTAGGGTGCAAACTGCTTCAGGTCCACTAGGGGGCAGGTGCTGGGACACATCTGTGGTTACGGAGAAACACAGAACAGTACCACATGAGTTACTGTGGCACAGATATACAAGCTATTTGACCCTTCACACTTGAACATCACAAAATAGTTTACAAGGATCCTCTTTGGGCCAGTAACAGAGACTGTGGTATGCTCTGAGCAAATGACTTACTGGAAAGCACAGAAGTTTCACCAAAAATATGGTCTCTGACTCCAACATCCTGTCTCTTACTTACCTTTGAACACTGACCATCCCTCAGCTGAATTACAGAATAAGGGAACCTGAAAGTTGTCAGGAAACCTAGAAATGGTTTCACCCAACAGGTACCATAGACGGAGCAACTACCTCCTTCATCTTACCTCCCCTAACACAGTCAGCCAGAAAGCAGACCGAGCAGCCGAGCTGGAGGTGACCTTCAGAGTGGCTTCTGTTGGAAGCACTCAGAAAGAATTTTTAAAATCAAAGAAGAAAACATCTTGAAAAAATTGGCTGCTGGTGGAACTGTCTCTTCCAAGTTGACATCATCAATCAACCAACAGTGTAGGAGAACTGTCAAATCCCAGCAGCATGAGGGACAAGAGAAACCATCAGACACCTGAAAAATGGAGGACTGCTCCACACAGCACAGCTGGAGCCCGGGGCTGTTATTTGGGGGGAGGGGACAACTTAATGGGGTGGGGGAGAAAAGGAGAGGGTGTTGGCAGGGAGGGAAGAAAAAAACCCATCAATTAAAATATGCCTGATTCATAATTTTCTCTATTTCTCAGCAGAATAACTTTCTGCCCTGCCTTCTGCATTGTGCACAGCTATCTCAAAATTCATTTTTCAGCTGTTATTCATACTTCAGTTTGGTGTTTCTGAATGTATTCTTCCTCACAGTAACTGTTGACAGGTCCAGCCCTGTAACCATCTGGCTCCTGAAGTAATGAGACCAAATGAAATGGAGCTTGAAGAAATTAACATTCTTTCCTTAATCTATTAATAACTGAAAAGTGTTGATTTTAGTGACAGCTAGATACTTTATTATGAGGCATATTGGTTAATTAAGAGCATCATAATGAAGGTTATAGGAATGCATATCCCTCCAGAAATACACATATTTTTTAATAAGCATAATTTGATTCTTCTCACAGGCTCAGATAAAGTCAGTGAAAATGTTATGCACAAAGAAAATTTCAACAAAGAATAAACAGACAATTTTGTATGTACGCACCATGGTTATTGTTGTTTTATTATGTTAAGTGTGCCCATGTCTATCATATACAGCTGCTGTGTATCAATAGAAGTTGCAAATACTTACAGGTCTTTCAACTGCATCAACCTGTCCCTCGATTCTGCTTCCGCCCATCCATTTGCTCTCAGGTGATATTTGCAGCTTTTTAGGGTCCTTATTGGGGCAAGGAAATCCTCCAATTTACCAAAGTTAAAAATGCATAGACTTTCGATACTTAGATCATGGATGATGAGATTTCCTTGCTCTTCTTTTTTGTTTGCAAATATTTTCTTTATGGTCGTAAAAATTTTACAAAAACAAGACTTTATGGCACACAGAGCTATCATTAACCACAGGCTGGGTATTTCATCTTTCTTCCTCACCTTTCCCTCACATTGAGCTCAGACAAGTTCTGGGTTCCCCTTGCTGCAGTGTTAATGTGCAGGCACACTTAGTCTAGGAAGTTATCCCCAAATCTCATTGAGAAACTATTTGTTCTGTGTTTTCAGTCTTTGCTCAACTTTAGTTTCTCTATGTATGCACTTTTTAGGGAAATTCAGTATCATTTTTATTCCTGACTTGATACCTACAAGTCAATTCCCAAAATTTTCTCTGCTAAGAATTAAATGGTGTGTGTGTGTGTGTGTGTGTGTGTGTGTGTGTTTGTTTTCATGGCACAAGTTTGATGCACTAATTCCTTCTTGTTTTCCCCCTCATTTTGCCATTGTCTTCTCACTAACTAGACAAGAAGTTCCCGTGGAATAGTTGATTTTTCTCTCTTGCTATTTCTCTCCCGGGACATACCATACAAGATTGAGTGGAAAAGTAAAGTAAAGGTCTAGATAAATCAGGCAAAAACTGGTTAATGACAATTGGGTGTGTGTTTTCCAACTTTGGGCCTTAATTACCCACTTTGATTGTCAAAGTTGAAAAATTACTGAACTGAGACCAGATCTTTAATACAAATATTGCTTTTCTGAACAGAGAGAATGTACTTCCTCCTGGTTTTCCCGTTGTCTTTGATGGGTTCAGTCTCCCTTTGAGTTCTTCTTTCTTATTATCCTGACACCTCCTCTCTTCCTTTTCTTCCCCATCCTTTGTATTATTGATGCCAGATGAGTGTCAGCACCTTTATAGCACCACGCTCTCAACATAAGACTCAGGAGGCACACAAGGAACACACGTCATCATTCTGTGATAAGCATGTCAGTTAAACCCTGATGGGTGCTTATTCCTATTTGTCTTGAGAAGTAATTCTGTTTTTCAAAATACAGCTAAATTGCATTATGAAGCAGAATTGTAGAGTCAACTTTACATAGGCTATAATATACTTCGGCTGGCCTTCTAGGATCCCTAGCCAGGGCTCTGCATATCAGAATCACCAGGCAGATTCGAGGCCATTGTGAGGTCTGATTCCAAAGCAAAGGCAGAGAATTCTCTATCTCACACTCTTGAGCTGGGGGAGGGCCAGAAAATCCATAAGACAAAGTTAAAAACCATGATAGAAAGGTCAAGGTCATGCTTAGTATGTTTCATACCCAAAATTGGAATAATAGTGCTCAATAGTTCTTTCAAAGGATTGAAGATAAGAAAAATTAAATAAAAACTTTGTCGGAGGTGATCGATGGTGGCCACTGGGCAGACCAGACCTCATTCACTCCAATGCCTCGCTCTCCTTGCTTCCTCTGCAACCATGTCTGACAAACCGGGCATGTCTGAGATTAAGAAGTTCGATAAGTCAAAATTAAAGAAGACAGAAACACAAGAGAAAAATTCACTGCTTTCAAGAGAGACAACTGAACAGGAGAAGCAAGCAGGCGAATCATAATGCGGTGTGTGCTGCCAATGTGCGCTGTCCATTCCACAAGCATCGCCTTCTTATTTTACTTTGTTTAGCTGTTTAACTTTGGAAGAGGCAAAGAGGTTGGATCAAAGAATTGAGAACTACTGACAGGGAACACCACACCTGCCTCTCCTGTCTGCCTGTCTCAGGAGCAGGGAAGGAAAAGAACTTGCATGTTGGTGAAGGAAGAAGCTGGATGGGATGACCCTGAACTCCAGAGTTAAAACCAAGCTTGTCGCAGGTGTCCTGCAGGCTGTAAAATGCAGTGTAATGAGAGTGCCATTTTTTTTTTTGTTCAAATGATTTTAATTACTGGAAGGCTCAAATTTTTAAAATATGCAAATAAAAAGTTTTATTTTTATTTTTTTAGAGATTTCATTTATTTATTCATGAGAGACATAGAGATAGGCAGAGACATAGGCAGAAGGAGAAGCAGACTCCCTGCAGGGAGCCCAGTGTGGGACTTGATCCCAGGACTCAGTATCATGACCTGAGCCAAAGGCAGATGTTCAACCACTGAGCTACTGAGGAACTTCCCCAGTTATGCTTTCAAATAGGTCCATCCCTCTCACACAAATACTCTTCGTGACAGGGTATAAAAGTTCAGCATCAGGCACAGCTCCCTGCCTGGGAGCCTTCCAGCCTTTTCCATCCTATTTTTTTTAAAAGATTTTATTTACTTATGTGTGAGAGAGAGAGAGAGAGAGAGAGAGAGAGAGAGAGAGGCAGAGATACAGGCAGAGAGAAGAGAAGCCAGTTCCTTGCAGGGAGCCTGCAGGACTCAATCCCAGGACTCCAGGATCACGCCCTGGGCCTAAGGCAGGTGCTCAAGCACTGAGCCACCCAGGTGTTCCTCCATCCTATTTTTCTACTATCATCAGACAATACCTACTTTAGAACTTCCTGGCTCTCCTATCTCTTAGCTTCCACTCCTGCTCCCAGCTGATGCTTCGTGTCCTCAGTTCTCTGTCCTGACAATCCAGTTAGACACCCTTCTCTGGCCTGAACCTCACTCAGCACTACCTTTCAGTCAATAACTTATTATTTTCTGGGAACACCATAAGCACTTACAACTAAGGGTAAGAAATGTTCCTGTTATTAAATAAAACTTGAGAAGATTTATACCTACCTCACCGGGTAGTTGAATCAGATAGCACTCCCTATATATCTGCTTTAATTCCAGACTTAAAATATTACTTTACAGTTTGTTTAGATCTTCTAAAATAAAAAGAACCATGCAGCGAACATAAGGCTTTTATGTGACTTGCAGATGGCTTGGGACACATGGTAAAACACCGATGTATTCCTGTAAATGTTTTCCTTCTTTCTAAGGTGAAGGGGAAACATTGGGTCACTTCATTTTGTTACAGGTGAAACAGAGTCAATGGAAGTCTGCTAATATTAGGGTAGAAATTTAGAGCCTTATAGGATATAAATATAGAATTATGGTTAAGTCTATAAAATTTGCCAAATTCAAACTAAGAAATTTGAGACCAAAGGATTTAGAATAAATTTATGACCATGGAACCACATGGATTTATTTTGACAAGAGCCAAATAATTATTTGAAAATTAGAATAACACTCCTTAAACATGTAAAACATAACCAATGCTATCTAAATGAGGCCTAAAAATAACTGTTAGAACTATTTAGAACTTAGATAAGTTTGATTTCTGCTCCACACCACAATTTGTATTTCTCTTGAAACATTTTGCTCTTATTATAGAACAAAGGATATATCCCAATATTATAAATGTATAATTCGAGTCAGAAAAAGCATAACAGAGCCTTGGCAGGATACTAATTTACTCAACGGCCAGAATACTTTTTTCTTATTTTCTCCTTTGTACAAAGTAGAATATATAATATATTCGTTAATTCAAATATGGGAGAGACTAACAGATTTAGAGAACGTATTTTAAGTGACGTTCTTTCACTTTTAAGTACTTGTAAGTTATCTAAATAAGTAACATTAAGATGAAATTATCCTTTTTTTCATACTAAAGATTTTTCTATATATTATGAACAGTGTAAGTGGAGAAAATAATTTTTCCTCTCAGTTAAGAGACTATTCCCTCTAAGTTCCTGTTTTACTATACATTTACATAGCATGCCCTTCTTTCACAAAGTTACCCCTTTTGGTTCAATTACGTCAATGTCAAATGAATGAAGTAGCATTATTTCCAGAGTCAATCAGGTTTTGCTGTATCTAAAAGCTTACGATGCGTTGGGAAATTTTATTTTCCAAAAGAATGCCAGAAGTTTCACATTTTATACTGATATCTACAAGCCTATGTGTCAAGATTCAATCAAGGAAGCCAAGCTCCTAAGAGTATCATAGGATAAGATAGTTATTTTAAGAATAAGGCTGGACACAAATGTGCAGAAGCTGGGTGCTGGTGTGCATCTACTCTGGAGCACTGGTGCAAGATGGGAGTTTGCCAAGGAATCTAGGAAGCCAGGCTGGTCCAGATTCTGGGGTGGGGCCATGAGGGAGGCTCCTGGAGAGGTCCACTTCCACATTCAGAGGAAGGCTGTTGCCTCTGCGTCTGCTGGATCATGTGGGGGTGACTACATGTTCAGAGGGAGGGGGAGGACAAGCTGGAATTGGCCACAGCTCTCAGACTGCCTTCCAGCATGCGAACCCACAGAATGAGGTAACTGCTACTTTCCACCTTCCAAATTTAACATGAATTTCTCTTTTGCACCACAAATTCGGAAAGGTACAGGAAGAGGATGCTGGGATATGTAGTTCAGTTTCATCTTGTTGCTGCAATACAAACCACCACAGTCACATGACTCCATTTGGTTTACAGAACATTACGTGAAGGGGGTACAAAATCTGGGGGGAGGTGGGCAAATGCACAGCATACACAGCTCATGTTTATGAGCAGGACATCATTTGGAAGGAGAGACCACATGGCCCATTCATCAGTGCAAGGTGCCATTCCATAAAGCATCAGAATAAATGCTACTGCCAAAAAAAGTGAAAACGCTGAAAAATGCTGTCTTTAAAAAGCATGTTTTTCATACCAGTTTCGTTTCCTACTCCCTACTTCCATTCTCTTAATAGCTTTAAGAATTCTATGCGGGGCGGGGGGGGGCGGGCGGGTGAGAAGAAAAGGGCTACACTATGCAGAGAGATCTGAATAGCTTGTCTGATTTCATTCATTAGAACGAAAGAATTCATCAACTTTTATGATTTCAGAATGACCTTCACTATATCACATTTGCAGAACATAGGCTCTGTGAGTAAATGTGAACCCATTTTGTTGAAAGAACAATGTCTTTTCTGAATTTGAACCTTTTCACTGGTATCCAAGAGAAACAGACTAAGAATCTAGTAAACTGCATTGAAATTTGTTCTATTTACCAGATGGGTAATTTCCAAGGCTTTTCCCTTCTTACAAGTACCTCGAGGGAGAGGCACATCCTTTGAGAGAGAGAAGCAGGAGAGAAAAGATCAGTCTGAATGATAATGAGTCTTGCCAGGAGACACCTTTACCTTATTTCAATGGGACAGACAGCTTTTTTGATGTCAGTTTAGAACTCCCATTAGCTATGATAGGAATTATAGGTTTATCAAGAGAAGAATATACCCCTATGGATTAGGTAGCAAAGGTCTCCCTCTTTGAGCTTCATTATTATTACAAAAACCTCATTCATACAAGGCTAATGGGAAGTAGACACACGCTTCAGAGAAAGGATCTCATGGGATGAAGTACCACTCAGCTAGTTTCTAATTCATGCTCTTACGGAAAGAGAAAGATTGTTGCTGTGTTTTCATGCAAATTGGTCCCTCTTCTACTATTCATCACCACCACCCTCTAATGCCATCTTCTTCCACCCCAGGAGAGCACACTGACGTGGTCCCGTCATGGACTTAGGAAAGCCCCCTAGACCCACCAGATACAGCATGTCTGTCCTGAGCCATACGGATTATTCTCTGTCCCTAAGAACATCAGCCCCAAAGATATATTTGTAGATCAAATCCTTGGAGCATAATGACCTCCTGGATGTTTCAATATTTGGAGAACTCTTTGACAGAGTCAATAAGTCTTAGTATTATACTTTATTTGGATTGGGGAATTGGTTGACATTATTTATCACAATGTGGAAAGCAGTTTGGGAGCATTTCCAAATGACACTCAGGAGAATCAAAATGAGTTCTTCTCTTTGGGGCCCTGAAGGGAGAGTTCAAAGTTACCAGGTCTTATGTAACCACAGTTCCAGGCACCTTGTGAGGAGTGAAGGTAGTGGAAAACTAGAAGGTTTTACCAAGCAAAACTGTTTCTTTTTTTTTTTTCCTTCCTTCAATCTCAAAGTAAATGTCTGGTTTAAGTGATGGACAGTAATAGCAAAGAGGGATCAGCTGGAGAGCACATATCAAGGAGATGGAACTCACAGAATTAATTGGGAGCAAAGAGGCCTGAAACACCTGTACATAAAAAGAAAAACAAATATATGATTATTGGTGCAAAGATGCTAGCCTGACAGAGGTTTTTACTAACTGGTCTATTAACTGTTGCATCTGGCTGTGCACTGTGCTCTGTTCTCCCTGGCTTTTTTTTTTTTTAAACCTCCTTTATATTTTTGAGTCTGTTCTTTATAAGGCCATCAAAATAAAGGCACCTGATTTTAACAAATGATAGCCATAGCTTGGGTTTGGGGGAAATCTCCTGGGTTTCTCTCCGAGCATGCATTCTCCGTCAAGAAAAAGCTATTTCCAAAGGTCAGAGAGGAGATGCATATTTATGTTACATGCATTCATGTGTGTCTATAACCATATAAATACTATAAATATATTTTATGGGAAGACAGGGATTATCTTCTACTTAGTATTTTCCATTTTAGTAGCTTTCCCTTTTACTAGTTGAATACTCATTGTATTCTTTATTGGGGCTACATTCAACTTAATTCTCTTTGCAGGCATAAAGCTAGCAGGGGCTACAACAGGTCATCAGAGCTGTGTCTTTTTTCCTTAT